ACACAGAAAACACTAATTCCCTATCCAAGTGTATTCTGGGAGTTAGAGCCTCCAAATGAAGATGGAAAGATACCAACTGGGAAGTACAGTAGTTCCCCCTTATCCACAGCAGCCACTTCAACACCCCCAGTGGATGCCTGAAACTGTAGTTAACCCTCCATATGCCATGTTTGTTCCTACACATAAATCTGTGACTGTTTTATTTATAAATTAAGCACAGTAAAAGATAAGCAATAACCAATAATAAAACAGCATAACGTAGCATAATGAAAGTTTTATGAATGTAGTCTCTTTCTCTCAAAATACCTTATGATTCTCACTCTTCTTCCAAGGATCATGCGAGAGGATAAAATGGCTACGTCACGAGCTGAAGTGAGGTGAATAACGCAGGCTCTGTGAGGTAGTGTTAGGCTACTACGACTACTTCTGACGACAGGGCAGGGCTTCCAGACCGCACCAGACTGCACTTGCCTACGGGTAACTCAAACCACAGAAAGAAACTGTGAGTGAGGGGGGACTCCCGGAGGATCGAACACCACTCTGGCTCAAACTGCAGCTGCCTGATTTTCTGACTGAAATGGACCTTGCATTTGTGAACAAAGGTCTGATTACAGAGAAAGGAGGAAGGCTCTCGCTCCCTGCCTTCAGCGTCAGCTCGGCACTGCTGATGTGGGCTTCCAACCTCACATGTAGCAGCCTTGTGGTTTGAGGAAATCTTGGCAAGAGCCAACTCTAAGTGCTAGGTCCTGGTGATGCGAGTTTACGTGTTTTACGTCTTTGTAAGTATTTTGGTGGGCAGCTGATCCTGCCTATCCGATGCTTTTTCTTTACATTTTTATTTTTTAAAGATTATTTATTTATTTATTTGACAGACAGAGATCACAAGTAGGCAGAGAGGCAGGCAGAGAGAGCGGGGGAAGCAGGCTCTGCTGAGCAGAGAGCCCGATGCAGGGCTCTATCCCAGGACCCTGGGATCATGACCAGAGCCGAAGGCAGAGGCTTTAACGCACTGAGCCACCCAGGCACCCCAGATGCTTTTTAAAGTATGAAGTTACAATGATGCCCTGGAACGGGGCTATGACTGAAAAGAATGACAGAAAGATCATACAGCACAACCTCTACCAACTCTACACTAACTCAGCACATGGTCCCCAAGGCCCAGGCTTGAACCCCTTCAGTGACCTAGAACTCACTACCCCGTCAAACAATTCATTTCATTTTTAGAGTTCAAATTTTTCGGAATGTTACTGAGGCAACACTGAACCCTCTGTACTTTGAGTCCTACCACCGTCCTCTAGAGTCACACAAAATAATCCGAACACATTCCTTTCTTTCTAGGGACAGATCTTCAAATACAGTGGTATCAAATCCACCTCCCAAGCTGTCTTTCTTAACTGTTCCTAAGGATCTACTAGCAGAACTTTGAGTACATCTACATAAGCACACCATGCTGGCTATTCAATATTCCCAAATCCAAAAGCGCCATCTGCAACAATGGTACGCGTACTCTTGGTCAGCATCCCCAGTTATGGAACAGAAAACAGAACAACCTCAACCTACCACATATATTCTTTCCCACAGTTCCAGTGGCCCCTGATTAATGACCTCCACTTGCAAAGGAGGCTACTTACCTTAACCATGAAATAATGAATACTATTGATCCAACAAGCTACTGCTATAGAGAGTTACTGATCACCCAATCTTTGGTTAAAATGGTCCTCATTTAGCAATTTCACTGTCACAAACACCGGGAGCAAAGCATGCTCATAATTAAAGAGTTTGGGGGAGTTAAAGTGAAAGGTGATGGACAGAGATCTCAGCTTTCTCCCATTTATTCTTGCTTCTGAGCTATTGTTTGTGTCAGAAGGGATATTGATTTTCTATAAAAATAAGAAAACAAGAGGCACCAAGGGGCTGCAGAAGGTCAGCCTGGGCTGGAGAAGGAGGGGGGAGGTTTAGCACTCTATCTCTGTCACTTGCCTTCCAAGAGAAAGGAATATTTTCTTTCCTGTGAGATCGGCCTCTAATACATCACCTTAGAAAGGCTCCAGACTGAGACTTCAGGCCAACACCAAACTGATTCACTTAGAACAGAACAGAAACTAAACTATATTCAAGGGGAACAAACAAATGTGTTAGTGAAAAACAGAGCAAAATCAGGCTATGAATCACCTAATGGCTGCTACATAGACAATATGAATAAGGACAGTAGAAAGTAATTGCACAAAAGAACCGCTCCATTTTAGAATGGAACACACATACAAAGGAAAATATTAAAATAACCGATCTTTTTGCAGGCACAAAATACTACTACCTCATAACCACTTTCAGTTCCTCAGAATCCCTGAGGGATTGGTTGGTGCAGAATTGAAGGAAGAACAGAAAAAAAGAAGTAAAAAGAATTACTGGTCAAGTTTAAAGCTATTCCATGGTTAATTAATAAAGTGAGTTTAAGGAAATTAGAAATAAAGTTCTCTGGTTGAGACATACATTTTCAAACCTAAAACTTGTGACATACACTTTTTTAAAAGAACAAGGCTAGGTTAAACTTAATGATCACCTTCATCCTAATAATTCTACAAGTTTGAATCATACAGGCTGACAATCCTCAATACGACTGATAAAAAGTAAAGTTCTAGGGGCACGTGGGTGACTCAGTTGGTTGAACATCTGCCTTCGGCTCAGGCCATGAACCTGGAGTTCAGAATCAAGCCCGTCTCAGGCTCCCTGCTCAGTGGGGAGTCTGCTTCTCCCTCTGCCCTTCACCCGGCTCCTGTTCTCTTTCTCTCAAATAAATAAAAAATCTTTAGACAATAATAATAATTGAGGGAGAAGATTTTAGTTCCATCTTACTTGAGAGACTGAATATAATTTGCAGTCTCCTCTCTTTCTCCACAGGGTAGATTTTTGGGGGGAAATACAAAGCACTTCTGCTCATAACTACAGATGAATCAACGTAAGGCATATACTTAAGACTCACAAACAATGAGATTCTAAAGAAGTTTTCTCATTTTCGGTCTGCTACTACTCCACCTATTATTCCCTCATAGCTACAAGGCCTTGGGCATCCATGTTATTAAAGAACTCTGATGTCATGGACCAGGCAAATAGCACAAATGGCGGGGTGGGGGGACGACACAAGATCTTCTCGATTTAGAAAAGAATAAGAATTTCGTAAGAACTGCTGCCTGCTTCCACTTATCCAGGCTCTCATATAACCAGACTGTTTATTATTACAACCTGACTATAACATGCAATAGATGTGTCTGGGGTAAGAAGGAACTGGAAGGACTGAAGGCCTCACTGCTAGATTACAGACTCCGTATCTGGAACCATTCTCGGACTATTAAGAGCAGACAGAGTTAACAGTCTCTCACCTACAATTATGTCATAATTTAACAAGAAATTCTGGGGAAAAAATATATACAAGCTATCATCGCAAAAAACAATTTTTAAAAATCACTATTCTCAACAGTAAATTATTTGGCATATAGGTTTGATACTGAAACAAACTTAAATGCCTCAATCAAGGGTTTTGATATTGTGAAAAGCTGTAAGTTGACTAAACATTTATTTGATTAAAAATAACAACAAAAAAAACCTTTATAACCCAAAATCATACATATAAATTGGGCAAATAAGTCTGAGGAGATACAGTAAAGGAAAATTAGGAAGCCAAATTATAAGCCTATCTGGTTGTGCAGACTGGCAAATATAAAGTTAGTCAGAAAAATTGTTAAAGCTGGATTAAAAATCACCCATGAAAGGTACAGGGATAAACGCCTAAGCAGCTTTCCCTATTACTGACATAGCTTCACCTCATAGGTCCTAAGATTTATGTCTTTGTTTTTCAGACAAACTTCAATAGGAAAGTCCTAAGAAAAGCCACATATTCTAAGCTAAGCTGAGATGGAAAAAGAGCCATGGGAAAGGGACACTAAAGGGGCAGCAAAACATGGTGGTTAAGTATGAACTTTGGAATCAGGTTCAATTCCCAGTTTTGCCACTGGGTGACCTTGGGCAAATTATCTAAATGCTACTAATTTCCATCTCCTCTTCTGCAAAATACAAATGGCGGTGCCTACCACACAGTGGAGTCCTGAACATTCGATTGGGACTACCAACCCACTAGGAAGCCCCCATAAAGCCATTTGATTTGACGCTATGAAGGGGATAGGAACAATGTAGGGATATCAAATCCCAGGTAAAGCACGGGGTGGTCCCTCACCACCATGAACTGCACCATCCAAAACACCAACAGCATCTTCCTTGAGAAATGGTATCACACAATGATATTAAGAGTAATATTAAAGTATCAAGGTGGGGATTCCTAGGACTACCCGAGATATAAAAAACAAAGTCACCAAAAACTGCACTGCCATTTTAAACATGCACCCAAAAGACCCAAATGTTTCTGGCCCAGTGTCATCTAGTATAAGACTAATGGGATTTGGTACTGTTATTTTCAAAGCCCACTATGTGTTCAGACTACATGAATGTCAGCCGTAAAAATCAAGCTCCACAGAGTCAAACTGGAAGGAGCAGACAACAGAATTCTAGCCCAGTACCTAAAGCCAGGACTCTTGATGGGGAAAGGCAGCTTACCAGGAACATACACGAACTCCACGTGCCTGGCACCAACATTTTCTCGCGTACACAAACACGCCCCAGCCTCTGCTGAGACCCTCATTCTACCAACATCTACGTGTGATCTCCGTGGCATAAGCAGCAGCTTCTAAAATACAATTCATGGCTTCGCATGTGAAGTACACATTTTAAACCATTTTTAGAAACAAATGTGTTTGTTTATATACAGCCTTCTTGACAGAGGGAAACAGAATCATGAATGTACTGTAAAAAGCTAGAGATAAACCCTAGCTGCCTGCTTAAGGGAGGGCTACAAAGTCAACAGCACGGTGGCTGGTTTGGAAAGAAAGCTGAACTCATCAACACTTGGGGTAAAAATAGCCAGGAAAATCTCTGAGTAAGGGAGAGCTCACCATTCTGACATGTTCTCATCAGAGCCCTGTTTTTGTTCATCTGCTTCACACTCCATCCTTTCTTTCCTTCCTGTTTTGCTTAGGAAAGTCCTATTTTCTGCTGATTCACACAACCCATGACCAGAGGAGGCCCAGGGAGCATTCTCCTTCCAGCGGGACAGACGCTGCTTCTTAGCCGACTTGAACCTGCAGCCTCTCTCATAGCTCCAATCTGACACCTTGAGCTTCTGCTGAAGGCTGGCAGCCACCTCCGAGGTCACTCGCTTCACCTTCCGCCGGCGCCGGAGTGGTCGACACGGTGCATTTTCAGTAAAGGAGTCAGACTCGTGCCAAGAGTGCTGCTTACTCTTAACAATGGCATTGAGAGCTGGGTGCCGCTTGGCTACCATTGTGTCATCGGAGTCACTAAAATTGGCAACAGGGGCCATTTCTCGACAGTCCTTGATGGCTTCATCAAGACTCGACTCGGAGGCCTCGCTGTAGCAGCAGGTATGTTCCGCCAGGTGAGTGAAGTCGGAACGGCGCTTCCGGCCTCTCCTTTTGCGAAGCTGCCGCCTCTGCAGCCGGGGGCTCAGGGCCATCTCCTCCCACAGCTCACCAAGCTTATTCTGCTCCGATGTCTGCTCTAAGGCTGACGCTAAGTCATGTACCAGCTCATCCATGAGGCCACATCTGCCGAAAGAAGGTTCAGAAAAAGAAAAAGAAAACCTGAATAGGATTCTGTTGTTTAGAGTAATTTTATAAAATAGATCATGGCACTGCAGGGTCCACCCCATCTACAGAAAATAGTCACCTTTCATCTGGCTACACTTAAGACTCTGTTCCTACCATCCATGCACCTTTAAGACACTAAAAATAGAGGTGTTTACCCTTGTTAGGTACCTCAAGTCAACATGTTTTTAAAGCACAAAAAAAATATATCACTCACCAGATCACAACTAGGATATTAGCAAAAATGAGCAAACCCAGGTATATAAATTTTTCCTCTCCTTTTCCCCAATTAAACTTGTCAATAAATTATCTGATGATCAAATCCAAAAGATTAGAGAAAGTCTCATTAGACAGAAGCAGAAAAACACACAATTTCAAAACCATGGATAAAGAATTGTTCCATGGGCTAGGGTCACTTATGGAAGGGAGGAGAAGGACAACTTAGTGACACACTTTAAGGACCACTGCTTGCAGTTTCGGTGACCCAAGAAATTGTGGTGACCAGATGTGTACCCTGAATGGAAAAAAGACACTAAGTCTGCCCCCACTCTGGTCCCAACTACCACCTGGAAGCCAGCAGGGAAAGGATTTTATCGGGCATGTCATATCTTTTTTAACAATTAGCAGCTTCTAAGGTCTTCTCCCATCCTTCAGAAAATTAAGTGATCATAATTATGTGCTTTAGTACCAATCACAAAAAAGCAGGATGTAACTGACGCTGAAATGACAGGGATAGATGGAGTCTATGATTTGGAGCTAACCGCTTTCTACATTTTTCTATTCATTCCTGTCAAACCCTCATACTTCAGGGGTCACTTCAGAGGCAAACCTTCCAAGGGATGAGAGCAGTACAAGCAATTTTCAAAACGCCCTTTCAAAGGGAAATGTCTAATATAATTTGTACAACACCTTATTAAATACATATTCATTTAGTATCTTTTCCCTAGCCCTGGTTAAGCCCAAAGTATTTCAAGTCCATAATCAGAATTTAAAACTGTGTGGCACCACTCTCAGACCCTATTTCCACTCATGCAGTTTACATTTGCAAAGGACTTTCTAAAACCTATTTTCAGGCTGTCCCTATGCCAATGAATTCAAAGGCAAGAAAACAGTAGGCTGGCTTATCTACCACATGGGTGGGAGCAACGGGGACATCTAGTTCCACAACCACCAAACAAACAAAACGTCTCCAGGTGTCAAAAGCCACAGAACATAAAATGACCACGTCCTTTCAAGCAATACGAAGTAGTTTAAAACGCCCTGACTGGGGTCTGGGAGACAACTGCCCTTAAGACCAAAACATGTGGGGACAGCACGTCTAAACCTACTTCCTTATTAAAGAACTACTGCTTTTAAGACTCAGGCAGAACTGTACACTTTAACGTGGAGCAAAGTTACAGAACTTGCAGCTGTTTGTGCAGAACCCTTTCCTATCTAAGGGAATGCAATTCGAACAGCTGGTGACAGAACCCTGAGCTCCCCACACCTTCAGTCTCGGGTGCACGCTCCAAGAGGAACCCCTTGTCCAGCAAGCACTCGAGGAGGGGAAAGGTAAGTCACGCAAAGAAAAGAAGCCGAAAGGCAGCCGCACGGCTGGCTGAAGCGAAAGACCGGGTTGCGAGGAGCGGGGGAGGAGGCAGGCGGCAGGAAGCAACTTCTCCTGTGGGCTCACCGGGGCAGGGGGTCAGCCCTTCCCGGGCAGAACTGCAAAAAAAGGAAGTCCTGGCGACTAAGAACCCTCCGTAATCAGGGGTCGCAACATGGCCACATATGTGAGAAGGAGCTTGTTTGGAAGGACTCTCCCCCACGCCCCGGCCCGCCCCTGAACACTAGAACGAACACGGCTCGGGACACCAAGCCCTCACGCTGTCGCCTGCCCAAAAGAGTCAGAAAGAAGAAAGGAGAAGAGGTGACTGTCGCCCCGGAGACGCCCGAACCTCGTTCCCCGGGATGGGGTCGATGGGCCCTGAAAAACAAGGCCCAGCCACCCTCGCCCCTCCCGCCAACCTCCGCAGCCCCGTGGCGGCCATGGCCCCTAGGCCTCAGCCGGGAACCCCGATCCCCGCTGGCGCCGGCCCCCTGGACCCCGACCCTCTCAACCCACTCCTCCCCCTCACCAGCTGCCGCAGCCACCTCCAATGGCCGCCGCTTTTGGGGCCGAGTCTCCCCGCCGGGGTTTCCCTTTCTGACCTCATTTCCGGTCCGGGCCGGAGGGGTGGGGCAGTGGTGGAGGGGGAGGGGCTGGCTACTCGAGAAGGCCCGCCCCTGCCCAGCGCTTCCGGTCCGTGGCCACGCCCACTTCCGTCCCACGGAAGGCGGGGCCTTGGAGAAGCCGGAACAGGGACTGTGGGGCCCCGGGGGGCGGTGGTTAAGGGCGGGAGGGGTAAAGGATGAGGTCCACATCTGGGGCGGGACACTCCTCCCCAGGCTGGCTTCATCTGCCTCGGAGACGCCAAGAAATTGGGCACTAGGGAGGGACTTCGGCCTCTCCCTTGTTTGCTGACCTACTTTATAAAGGGTGTGTGAAATGGAGGGGAAATGGATCCTCATTCTTGACTGAGAGTTGGCACAACTATTAGCCTGGTACCTTTGTAGTGAATTACTCAGTCTTACAAATACAAATGCCTTGAGCAACAAAACAAAGTACTATGGGATTATAACTCTAAGTATAAAATCAATTCCCATGCATCTATACTGACATAAACTAATGAATACAGACATGAGTAAAGTAATAAACGGGGAAAAGGAGATAAATCTCTGGTGCAGAAAAATTCCAAAGACTTTATGTAGATAATTCACCCTGAAGTATAACTCCCAACTATTTGAATGTGGGCTGTGTGTAATGACTTCCTTCTAAAGAGCACAGTATGGAAAGAGGGGAAGTGAGTATAGTGGAGACACTCGGCAAGTACTACCTCCGCCAGGTGATCAGGGTTAACATGAACAGTGATAAATCACATTGATCCTGTGTAGACTAGCTATGATACAATGAAAGTGGCATTTTACCTCTTTGATATTTTCCTTCCAAATCCCATACACCCAATCTAATCCAGAGAAATAAATCAGACAACCCCCAAATGAGGGACGTTCTACAGAATGCTTGACCAGTATTCCTCAAAACTGTTAAGGGCAAAAAATTCAAGGAATGTCTGAGAAATTGTCACAGCCAAGAGGAAGCTTAAGGAAATGTGACAACTAAATGTAGTGTAGTGTCCTAGTTGGCAGACTGAAACAGAAAAAGGATATTAAGTAAAAACTAAAGGAACTTGGATAAACTATGGAAGTCAGTTAATAATAATGTCTCAATGTTGGTTCATTAATTGTGACAAATGTTCTATATATTAACGTAAGAAGTTAATAATGGGGAAACTGAGTACAGGATATACAAGAACTGCCTGTAGTACCTTTGTAATTTTTCTGCATACCTAACACTAGTCTAAAATAAAAAGGTTATTTTTTTCAAATGCACATACCTTTGACCCAGAAATTCTGCCTCTGAGGAATTTTATTCTGAAGAAAAACTGGAAATTGGCACAAAAATTTTAAATTGTGGAGAGAGGGATGAGAAGACTAGAAAGAAAAATCCTACAACAGGGATTAGTTATCTAAATTATGGTACATCTATGGGGTGGAATAACTGTATCCTTTTAAAGTTGATGTGGAAGAATAATGAATGAAAAGTCATCAGTTTCTGGTTGTGTACATTCCTGTATGACTGTGTTACTCCAATAAAAAGTTTATTCTAAAAAAAATAGAGTATGGTGTATTCATTTATACAGGAAATTAAATCTGTACTTGCCTGGGAATATAAAGTGATACACTACATATCACTGAAAATAGTTCCATTATAAATGACCATATCTTCTACCTGATATTTTTATGGATTTTCAGCATTTTCTCCCCCCCCTTTTTTTTTTAAGATTTTATGTATTTGAGAGAGGGAGAATGTGAGAGAGACAGAGGGAGCACAAGTGGGGTGGGGGGGGGGACAGAGGGAGAAGCAGATTCCCTGCTGAGCAGGGATCTTGACATGGGACTCAATCTCAGGACCCTGGGGTCATGACCTGAGCCAAAGGCAGATGCTTAACTGACTGAGATACCCAGGCTCCCCTTTTCAGAATTTTCAATGAAACTTAAAATGTAAAGAATTAAGGAAAGAGACAAGGAGGACTGAAGTTGGGAGCCAGCATGATGAAGAGAGTGGTCAGTACCATTTACACAGCTAGAGAAGTCAAGAAGAGAAACAGCTTTGGTGAGAAAGTGATTAATTCCATTTTGGACACACCGAATTTGTAACTCTCACAGGAGAGAAAAATTGTTCAAAAGTTGTCCACAACCATCAGCCCCCTTTTTTGGTTAAGTGAAGTTCTCTCCGACAAGCAAACTAAGTGTCCATTGATAAATAGATTAAAAAAAAAAAAAAGATGTGGTGTACACACACACACACACACGAATATTACTCAGCCTTTAAAAAGGATGAGATGATTACCATTTGCAACAACGTGGATGGACATAGAGGGTGAAGTAAGTCAGACTGAGAAAGACAAATACCATATGATTTCACTCATGTGGAATCTAAAAAAAAATGAATAAACAAACAAAAAAGCAGAATCAGACCTATAAATACAGAGAACAAACTGATGGTTGCCTAGGGGGAAGGAAAAAATGGGTTAAGAGGAGTGGGAGGTACAGATCTCCAGTGATGGAAATGAATGAGTCATGGGAACAAAAGACACAGCAAAGGGAATATAGTCAATAATACCATAATAGCATTGTATGGTGACAGATGGTAGCTGCTCTTGGGGCGAGCATAGTATAACATATAGAGAAGTTGAATCACTATGTTGTCCACCTGAAACTAATAAAAAGATTGTGTGTCAAGTATATTCAAATAAAAAATTTTAATAAATAAAATAAAACTATGAAAAAAGTTCTCTCCCACAAATCACAGCATCTCCCATGATGTCAGTTGCTTCAGTCAGCTCTGAACGCTCCCATATTTCTTGAAATCCAACTTTTATTTTCAGCTTTCTGTTAGTTATCTTCCCTGGTTTACTCCACCAGCATCTCCAATTTAAGACGTCGAGACAAAGCTTAGTTTCTTCCATAGTCCCTATCAAATCTTCCCCTTCTCCACTGTTCCCTGTTCGGGAAATGTTAACTCCATCATGCAGTCACCGAGGTGAGACGGTTTGAAGTCATTTTTAGTTCCTGCTTCTTTCTTTCTTTTTTAAAAGATTTTATTTATTTATTTATTTGACAGAGACAGAGATCACAAATAAGCAGAGAGGCGGGCAGAGAGAGAAGGGGAAGCAGGCTCCCTGCTGAAAAGAGAGCCTGATGCGGGGCTCAATCCCAGGACCCTGAGATCATGACCTGAGGCCGAAGGCAGAGGCTTAACCCACTGAGCCACCCAGGAGCCTCAAGTTCCTGTTCCTTTCTTATGCCCCTTTATCTAATTAAATGCCAAGCCTCATAGATTTTACTTTTATAGTACTCTTGCATCCACTCTCCCTGTTTTGCTTGTTCTGTGCTGTTGGCCTGGATAGGCAACCACTCTTCTGGATGGTCTGTCCCCAATCAAGTCATTCTCTACACTGGCAGCAGAGTGAGATTCCCAAAATACAATTGCACCTCATCTGTCTTTCACTATCTCCTGCATTATACTTGAGCACACCAGATCACTTACCTTTTTTTTTTTCTTTTTAAGGTCTTATTTTTTTATTTGAGAGAGAGAGAGAGAGTACAAATGGGGCAGGGGCAGAGAGACAGGGAGAGAGTCCCAAGCAGACTCCATACTGAGCACAGAGCCTGATGTGGGACTTGATCTCACGATCCTGATATCATTACCTGAGCTGAAATCAAGAGTCAGATGCTTAACTGACGGAACCAACCAGGCACCCCTCACTTCCTATTTCTTGAGCAATACTACGATTTAGGGTGATTTAAAGGCTGAATGCCTATGGGAACTCCAGAACACTTCCCCTTGCTTGTCTATGACCTCCATGAAGACTTCCGCTTGCTTGTCTACTCTGTTGGGCTCCCTCAGTATCACCTGGCATCTTTACTAGAGCATTTTCTCCATTCAACCTTGAATTAGAGCCAATTATGTGCAAGTTTGCCTCCCCAGCTAAATTACTCATTCCACAAATATATACCGAGCACCTATGTCAAGCTCTGGCAATAGAGCTGTGTGAACAAAAATGAAGCCAATCCCATTGCCTCAGAGATTCTGTCCTAGCCATTATATTCTCATCAACACCTAGAACAACACTTTGTATGTGGTAGGTGCCCAGTAACTGTTGTCAATTAAAAAATATATATATATATATTATATATAATATATTATATATATATTTGCTGACTAAATGCTGAAACAGGAAATTAGAAGGGATTGTCTCCATCTTAAGAGAAAATTTAGGGGCACCTGGGTGGCTCAGTGGGTTAAAGCCTCTGCCTTCGGCTCAGGTCATGGTCTCGGGGTCCTGGGATCGAGCCCCACATCGGGTTCTCTCTGCTCAGCAGGGAGCCTGCTTCCCCCTCTCTCTCTGCCTGCCTCTCTATTTGTAATCTCTCTTTGTCAAATAAATAAATAAAATCTTAAAAAAAAAAAAAGAGAGAGAGAAAATTTAAATAAAAGCTCCCACCTTCAAGTGATGATGGTAGTCAGAGGTGGGACCACTCAAAGAAAGAGCATGACAAGAGAAGCCTGTGGGGTTGAAGGAGACAGCTCAAAAGACAGAGAGCATCTGAAGAGAACCACTGTACAAAAGCCAGAAAAGGGAGAAATTTAAGAAAAAAGAGAACCAAAAGGAAAATTGGTGAAGACTAGTTCGAAGGAAATGCTATCACGCTTGATAGCGGAAGTCACTGATGACATGGAGTTTGGGGCAGACTGCAAACAGTTGACAGTAGAGGCAGGAGGGAAGTCAAGGGTAAAACGCTAGAACGGACTAGCTGTGTCCAGAGCTAACTGCTTAACTTCTTTGAGCACCTGCTTCCCCCTCTGTGAAACGGAGACAATAATAGAATGTACACATCCCTTCAGTGGAGATTAAATGACATAACGAATGCAAACCATTTAGCACAAAACCCACCATAAATTAAGTGCTGCAAAAAATTAGTAGTTACTGAGAAAAGGAAGAGAGTCTAGTCAACAAGTTTCC